AGAGAAAGTGGATTGGTTTTGGTTTATTCTAGTAGAGCTTGTTTCTTAAACTCAGTAATTCTCATTACTCATTAGACTGTTGTATAGATTAAATCCTAAATAACGCTCAGGACATTTGAGTATAAATATTGTTTTTAGCCATAGGGGGCAGCAAACTGCTACATTTCTTTAAAATCTGCCTTCCACTTGAGTACACCGGGCAAAGACTTCATCAGAAAACTCAGCACGGGATTCCTTCAAGATCCCTCACTTCTGGAGACTTTTGAAGAGTTCAAAATGTTTTATGTATTGCCACAGAGATTCCTGAAAGCTTCAGTAGGAAAAAAAGTCAAACTGCCAATCAAAATCATTAGAGTCCAAATTGCAACCAAATGCTCTATTCTTACAATAAACATTTCCAAACAAATTATAAAAAAAAAAAAGCCAAACTGTTGGGCCACTGCAAGCAATGGGACACAGAGCCTGTGAAGTATTAAGCAGACGGTGTTCCGCACATAACCTTCTTGATTCCATTATAGAAAAAAATCCCAAGTGCCCAATTTATATCACAGAGGTTTGCCAAAAGGTGTGAACTTTCTTCAAGTTCTTGCAAATCAGTGGGGTTAGCCAGAAAGTACAATACTCTGGTAACCTGAGCACAGCAGTTATAGTCTAATGCTAAAAAACATTAGGAAACATACCCATGGCAAACAATTAATCCAAAAGTTACTCACTGCTGTTGGTCAGGGCCTTAGGGCATTGTGTCTCTCAATAAATAGAAAAAAAGGTATCTTTGGCAACACAACTAATATATAATAAATGTTCTTATGCCGTGCCGTTTGCTGATTCCTGTAAAGCTTTGCCTCATTCCTTTCTGAAAGGCAGAGTCTCAAAAACACTTAAACCAGAATATTAAAATTTCTCTGCATTTCTGTTCTTCTCTGATAGCAGTTGAAATTTTCAGTCCAACAAGACTTAGGTAAATTAGTTCCTTTGATTTTCCAAGAAGCCATTGTTTTTAAGGAGTAACAACTGACTACGTTGCTGAGGAGACAAATCCCATTCTGTGGACAGAACTTGGATTGTCTGATTTACTTGAAAACAGAAGTTTCAATATTTAGAGAGTCATTCATGCTTGTCTAAAGCACAAATTAATCTTCACTCAGCAGCAAACAGGCAAGAGCGAAATGAACCCTAAAAATAGTGAAGCCAACGCTCATTACTACCTGCTCTTGTCTGACAACGAAGGTGATGTCTTCCCCAGGCTTAACAGCCAGGCTTTCTTCTCTGATGCTGATCTGAAGTCCCTTGGGAGCAATCAATGGACACATATGCTGTGCTAAGTTCTGCTGCAGGTCTACGCCACCTTCACACACATTAGAAACAACTTTCCTGTACCTGCAAAAACAGGAAGGAGTGAGCACCGTGAATTGGAGATGAGCAGGAGAATGTCATCAGAGGCACCGAATGTGTGTGGTGGTAGCTAACGAATATTGCTTGGGTTCATAAACAGACGAGATTGCAGATGATCAAAACCAACTCATGATGCAAATACTTTGAGGTACATTGCCTTTACTGAGTAAAACTGAAGAAAGAGGGTGTGGAGCACAACGGGGATTTGACCTGCACGCATTGGAAGAATCTGCCTTTTCAAATTTAGAATCACGCCTGACCAGCTCTCCAGGAGCTAGATAGTCCACTGTCCTCTCTACCATACCCTGTCCTAGCATTCAACAGTCTTCAATGTTCTAGAGGTCTTGGTTCAAACCCCAAAGATCAGGAAGACATTAGACCAAGCAGCTCCTGCATTAACTCAGAACCATTTTCTTAACTGCTGCTCTCAAATCTATGCACTTCTTAAAACACTTAAAGCATTTATTTAACATAACAGTATAAAAGAATGAAAAGCCTAACACTTTTAAAGAACTAATAATGAAATTCTTGGATGTATACAGTAATTATTTACAGATCAGTTTCATTCAGGTATGTTATTTTTAAACATCCCTTAAAATCAGAGTCAGATTTCACTCTGTTGAATTCTTATTCTGTATAACACAGCTGTCAGCCACAACCCAAAAGGCATCATTTTCCTCGGTAAAGCAAATATACACAGAGACTGTGATTCTATTGCCAGATTTGACATCTCATTCATTTGGTTCTCATCTCCACAACCGACAGAGATGATGTTATGATAAGCCAGAATAGATGCCAGCTGCAAGTTATTCTCAGCACAGACGTCAGACTACATTGTAGTGTATACTCTATGCAGTATTGTTTACAGTTACTAAAGCTTTCCTTTGATTCTGAGTGTCCCATATGGTCAGGAAAAGAATCTATTCTCCACAGAGCTCCTTACCCCTACGGAAGTGAGAGACTGGGAAGTTCTGTGAGATGTTACTGGTTCCTCAGAGTAATTCATTGGATTCAAACTGAAAATTGGTCTGAACCCAAGCAACGGGCTAAAAGAAAACACTCTGAACAGACATTCCTATCAGAAGTGCAGCAATGGCTACAAAACGTTACCAAAAACAAAAAAAAATGAGAACAAGACAGCTCCCCTCTTCTCAAATGGATTAGTTTTCGAACTGCTGTGAATATGTAAAGTAACATTTCTCTTTCAGCAGCTGTAGGAAGCTTCTGCACATGCTCTGAGTCAGTCAGAACTCTTGCATTTCCCCGTTTTTAGTTTGCTCTATTTAAATTTCCTTCAAACCACTTTTGCGGCCCTTGGTTCTCCTCCTCTCTAGAAGCCTCTGCAAGCCAGATGAATGCAATATCAGCTTACCCAGTGCTGCTGGTGTATGCCTGCCCCAGCACGCAGTCTTCAGGAGGTGCTTCTGGATTAAACCAAAAGTCAGCAAAGCATTTGCTAGACTCTGACTTCAGAGGTGCAGAGCGCTCAAATCCATAATCACTGAAAAACATCAACACCAAGTGTATTACTATCTGCACTTCATTCAGCAGTCTAATTTGGGGTGGATGAGACTACTTTTTAAGAGCAAAAAGATTTTTTTAGTATTATTGTACCAGCTAAACATACAAGTTGATGAGTTCTGTTCTAAGCCTAATTTCAATGAGAGTTGTGTACACTTGGGGGAAAAACTGGTTGTAATTACTTTGTCGGCTCTGCAAAATGAACTCTCTGGGTATCTTAGATTTTTAAAAGGTTTCCTTTGCCACTCATATCAACAAATTTCTTCTGTTTTTTTTTTTTTGCTTCATTTGCAAATAGAAAGGGTTTGCTTGCCTTATAAATCAATCCAATGGTCATTTTTCAAGTCTTGATCAATAGAGGAAAACATCAGGATTTGTTCAGGTGAAACAAATACTTAAAACATGGTAAAATTTTTAAACAAAGGCAAATGCAAAAGCAACCTGTTATTCAAATAACAGGTTGCCTATTTGTTTATACATGGCTATGGGGAGAGGGGCAAAAGGAGGCAAATAAACACATCTCAAACTCTAAGTAACTATTTACTAGCAATAAATCAAAAGGTCCACAGACAGACTCACCATAAGAAATCAGAGTTCACACATTCACAAACTTTGGATGTGAGAGCTGATGTGAAACTTCTCCCTTTAATGCACCATGATGAAATCTTCCTCTTTCGAAAGCTCCTCTGCTGGCCCATGATGCAACGATCTCCCTGAACATCAAAGCACTGGACTTATTGCACACCGTAACCTACACCACACAGATGTGACCTTATGTTGTCCCGAGAAAGGCTGGTCTTGCTGCCAAGACTATAAACTTGTATCAACTCTCTCATATTCAAATGTATAGGTATAGAAAGCTCTTATATCCACTGCTGTCCACTAATGGGCCATTACAGAGTTGTAACTATAGTTGTGCTATATTTCAGGGCACAAATCCAAAGATGTACATGAAAAGTCAAGTGCAATTTAACCCTTGTTTCATGTGTGCACAATCCAGGCACAGTCCCACAACTGGCCATTTAAAAATCCACTGTGGATGCAGGTGACTGAAGTTCTATCTAAATCACTATGTCTCATGTTGTCAGTCAACACAAAGCACCAACCATGTGGACACGGGTAGAATGAAGACTATCTGAACACACTCCGCTGGTAATTGGGCAGCTCTAAGTACTCTGACAAAGTCATCTTAGTAGTTACTAATTTCTGAAAGACAGTTCAATGCCAATATCCCAAGACACTGTTACTTTTTAGCCTCAGCTCTGCATAACATTCTTTGTAAATACACAGCATTCCAAAACAACAAGTGCAAAATCAGGCATGAGAACTAGCACACGAGAGCTGGAGTAATACACAGTAGTATGCAAAAAAACCCCAACCCAACAGACAGTGAGAGAACAAATGTACTGGAAGAAGCAAAACAAATAATCAGAATGATTATGAACAAATATGACATATATTATGAAAAATTATGACCCCTAACATTGGTCTCTTTAATCAATACATTGTACAGAGAATGCAGCTTCCCAAAATTGGATGTGGCCAGAGCACCAGGATTAGCAAACCTTAATGCATTACTGCAGAAATGGTATTGCCCAAAACAACTGGACTCTGTTACATGATTGGTCCACTGAGATCCTAAATTACTTCTAGAATGGGCTTTACTTATGGCAATTTATATATGAGTACAGTATGTGGTCAGGAAGTTGGCAGAACACATGACTGCACGTTCAAATTGCTTCAATCAATATTACACTCTTTAGTTTATGGTACATGCTTCACAATCCAGCAGGACCACCTATTATTACAGCAGACCACCAGATATGGTTCTGCCTTTCCCAGGACATAGATCACACAACCAAAGGGAACACAAAATCCTCTCCCATTTTAAACTATTGTAAAATCAGCAAATCCAACATAAGGAGATCAAAGCTGAGGATGTAGCATCCAAGTTCTATTTGAAAACATTTTCCTAGCACACAGTTGTACATGAATCTGAAAGCTATGGGAAAGTTGTGGCCGTTAACGTAAGACTGTGAATACCTGTAGATTTGTGAGCTCCCAGGACTCATAGTCATCGTCAGTGCACTCCCTGGGGAAGGATGGTCTGAAGTCCACCTTCACCAGTTCCCAGTCTGAACGGTAGCTAATATGTCCAAAGACTCTGAACAAAAAGATCAAAAGTAAAATCTTATTGCAAAGAAATACCATACATCTGAGATTCAACTTTTCAGTTCTATCTTTTCCTTTCCATAGTCATGGTCCCTACTAAAAGGTCCCTGGTTAATTTTTCTTACAGTTTTATACCTCTTCATATACAATGTGCTTAGTTAGAAAACATTAGCCAATTGTCTATGAAACTTTACGATGAAGAATATAGCTCATAGATTAGACATTTTTTTTCCCCCAGCAAACTATCCAGAAATTTAATTGAAAATATATTACCTTTTCTAATTTGGAATCCAACATTTTTGTCTATTACCTTGTTATGTGAAATGTACAGAGCTCTCAGATTTTGACAAGGAGCTCAGATCAGGGAGCAGAATCCAGGATCACCGGATTCTATTTCCAGCTTTGTCACTCATTCCTTATGATTATAGTGCAACTTCTTAATTTTGTTTTCTTTTTTAACTTCCAGAGATTTCAGACTGGAAATTACTATTGTTTAAACTCACAGCAGTATCATGAAATTGTATTCATTTCTAAGGAATACACTGCATCTACACACTGTGCTGAAGAACTCTGAGTCTCCTCTTCATTTCAGACAGTCCAATTTTTAATAAAAACCAGCCACAAACTGTAATT